GGTGAAGGGAGAGAGTTCCTGTGGCTGTCCGCCATAGGATCACACCGCAGCAGCCACTCTACCCAATTCGACCTGTTAATAGCAGCCAGGCTCAACCAACCGACTGATGCAAGATAAGCGGAAGAGAGAGAGAGAAGTTGACACTAGAGTCGTGATTCCTCTTCAGCATGCGACTGCCTTAGAGGCCACCAACCTCAGAACTCAAAAACGGAACGGAAATACACGTCACGCGTTGACGAAAGTTCACCGACCACTAACGGAGCTCACTTGCCTCACTCCGCCTTCGCATTGGGCCTCATTTCTCGGTCCCTGACGGCAGCCATAGCAACTAGTAATCTAGGCGAATAGTAGTGCCGGCAGAAATTATCTGTCTATACTACTAACTGCCACGCCAGCCACCTGCGTCCTCCCCCATCGCCAGTCTTCTTGACTTGGTCATGACACTGGGTCCAGTGGGAGTAGGGGGGAGAGAGAGTGTGGTGGATGCTGCTCAAGTAAGCGTTACTGCACTCACTTTACCGTGAGACACACAGTAGACATCATTCGAGTCGTCCAACGAACTGTCGTGGAACGCAAGAAGCTTGAAAGTCGACTTCTAGCCCTTGCGTCTTTGGGCACAAATCCCTTATAAAGAACAGCTGGAAGTGGAGCCGACAGTTCGATCCTCGTTTCCAAAAATGTCAATACAAGCGAGCGTGCGAGGCCAATGAGTTAATTGAGAAAACGCGATAGCTGGGACAAGTTTTTTATTCGCCTGACGTTTCGACATCCGTTGCGAATTCTTCATCGGAGACATCAGCAGGAAACAGACCCATTGTCGCTTCTGTTTTCTATTGGTGTCTCTGATGAAGAATCCACAACGGTTGTGGAAACGTTAGGCGAATAAAAGTCTTGTCCCAACTTGCACAGCACCTACCACACACTCTCCATCCTCGCCCTCCCATGCCAATGTCAAAAAAGGGGAAGCAGGATCGAGCGCAGACGACTGGCGCAGCCTGAATCTGCGTACAAACGGGCCGCTTTATCCTCCACCCTCCCCATGGGACTATAGGTTTGCGTCCTCAGTGACGTCTGCAGTGCCCTGATCGGTCCCGTCTATCTGTTCAACACATTTACGGAGTGGCCGCTTTTAGGAACACAATATACACTTTTATTCACGAGGGGGGAGGCGGGGGATAAGCAGTGATGTAGGACCGACATCAGGGCCTCAGATATCACCAAAATCCTTCACCTAAAGAGTTGTCTGACACCGGCGAAACCAATATCTGAGGCCTGTTAGTTGAACACTTCAGGAAATAATGAGCCTTCAAGCTGAACACGAGAATTATTGTTTCTAGATATAAACCAATGATCTGGCCACTAACCCTCAGGACAACTAAGCTACAAAGCGAAAGTCTAAATGAGTAAGCTCCCCTGGTTAACATGGTGTAGGGTGTTAAAAAAGTGCTAGAAAAAATATTTAGACATGAACAAGAAAAAAAAACGAAAAACGAAGCGAATCAAACACGCACCTCACGCATCCACGTAGCTCTAATGACCGTGCGGTGTTCAAGATGACCGACTGCGGATTTTATAAGAACAACAGCCGGAAGCGTGCTTCCTCCGTAATCCAACACGTGAACACAAATATCACTGGAAGTGTGTAGATAGGGGAAGTTGGGATGGAAAGACCTCTGAGGCCGCTGCGGTGTCAGGCTCTTAATTTCCCGCTGAAAGGTAATCAGAACCCCAGAGTGTCGATACATCTGAAGCAATTCCTGGAAGGGTTTGGCACGCAGATTCTCCAGCACTCCAAAGACTTGAAGACCGACGAGGGTGAGCGTGAGGAGAAGGAGAGCGTAGATACCGCCAAAGGTCCGGTAGAGTAGTCTAAAACGACAGCGCATCCAGCGCAGGATGAGTGAAACGGATAGGGGCAAGGACAAAACAGCCGACGATACCATTCGTAGGTCTTGAACTGAGTGTTCAGAAGCGGAGCAGAGCAGGATTTAGTAATATGCGTGAGCTCACTCCATTGGCTAGTAAGCACCAATCAGTGCCCGGCATGAATTCACCAATGACAGTGCAGCCTTAGTCTGTCACTCACTCCCCTTGTCACGTGTGACTAAGTAGTTTGCTTCAAAGGTCGCTGGGCTCACCGAGTGTTCAGCTGCCGCCGGGGTGTCAGGCCATCATTGCGAAAAATGAGTCAGGGAACGGCCACGGCGTACAAATCTGCGCATACGTTTTACGCTACAGTCAAGGCGTAGATTTTTATTCACAAGCTTAATTCTATGAAAATAAAGGTGCGGAAATGTCG